AGCGCAAACACGTAGTTGGTCACGGCAAATACGGACGAGTGAGCAGTAACAAGGCGCTGCATAAATTATCTCGTACATCGAGCACGAATAACCACAATCATCATCACAGCCATACTACGAGCAACGATAATCTGAAGGAATTTCAAGCGCCGTGGGATAAACCACATAATTCGAGCACGAATCTCAATCGGCAGAAAAATATTTCGCAGACGGCCCTGAAACGTAATCGGAGCTCGGCAGATGTACAGAATACCACGGGGCAATCGAGAAAATCTAAGAACTCGGATGAGCAGCAGGGTAAAAAGAGACCGAATAGTGTACATTTTGAATTGGGTATAGATACGCCGGGAAAAACGGAAGTCGAAGACGACAACGAAGAAGGTTGGGAAGAAACAAGTTCGACCGCAAGTCCGGCTTTGAGTCGCAGTGCAAATACATCTGCCAAACCATCCGCCGCCAATTCTGCAGCTAATTCTCGACATCAATCTCCTCTCTCGTCGCCGAAAGTCAAAAGGACTAACGGTCCGGATTCTGTTAGGGATTTTGCGAAGGGCTCAATTGATCACTTTGATGGGAAAGGTAGTGTGAAGACAGATTCAAACACGAAAGCGAACAGAAATAGTTATTCAACCGCAGACGCAAAATTGATCACGGAGAAATTACTTCAGAGAACACCATCTCATTTGGCTTCGGAGACGAAAATGAGCATGGCGACTGCGAAACCGACGCCAAAAATGGCGCATGCACATTCGGGTAGCATGGATCGATCGGCCGGGATAGTAAAGAGCATGGGCGCTAGTACCGCGAGTGGAAATCAGGAATTGATATCGAGATTCGTGGGAGATGCTGGGACACCGGGGGAAAACAGTCCGAAATTTCCTCCGCCGGATCACCGGGGAGAATCTAGGACGGGCGCCATAAATGGCAGTGCATTGGAAAAGACACATGGCGGGATTGGGGAAATGGCAAGAGCGAAGTCGATGGGGAATTTAACAAAACACAATGTTGATGAGGAAGAAGAATCGGCTCTATTGCCTCGAAGCCGAAAGAGTTCTACAAGTGGTGTTTCGGGACCGCCTAATGCGTATAATTCGCGCACGCAACAGAAACTTTGGCTCCAGAGAGCATCGTCGAATATTGAACCCCAGAGAGAGGGTCTGGGTGCATTGTCATTATTGAATGGCGGTATGGGAATGGGTAATCATGGTGGCGCAAGCAGTATGGGATTTGGACCTGGAATGGGTATAGGTATGGGCATGGGAATGGGCAATGGAGGATACTTAATGGGCGGAGATGGAAAAGGAGATCCAAGAATTAAAGTACAGCTTGAGAGAACGGGTCTGGAATATTTGGTTGTAAGACGTCATCAAGATCCTGTTGGACGAGGTATCAAGAGGCTAGAGAAAATGGGAGAGCTTGGGCATGGGGGTAAAAATATCCCAGGATCTGGAAATGGCCATGGGCATAGCAAGAGTGCGAGTGTGAGCCGAGCGGGTAGTTTGAAGGAAAGGAATGGGAATGCGAGAAAGGGAGTAAGACAGAGCTATGATGGAGAGGATAGGGGTAGCGATACGGATCGGGATGGTGGTAGTGGATTGGATGAGGAAAATGTTGCGGCGCTCTTGAGGAGCTTATGGGAGAAGAGCTTCGAGGGGAGTGGTAGTGCGGATTAGTGCGAGAGTTTGGAAACTCAATTCCGCTTCTGAGCTTTGTATTTGTGGACTGGGGGTGGTAAGTAATGGGCAGGATGGAATAGGGTCTTGATACAAATAAAGGAATGGAGTTCTGAACTTTATAGGGCGTGCATGCATGGGCTAGGCGAGGAAATCCCTCGAATATAGTTCTTGATATCTGAAATTACTTCCTGGCTGATGAGTGGGCTAGTTGACCTTCATAATGAGTGTTTGATTATAATAATATTTTACCTGCGAGGATGTATACACACAAATGTCGAAGTTCCCTGCTTGAGATCTGAATAAGTGGTTTGGGGTTAGATAATGATGGTGAATTGGCGAATGAGAAAGGGGCAAAGAAGACATTTTAGATAATCGTGGTGATAAGTATCAATCAAGGTAGGTAGGTAGGTAGGTAGGTAGGTAGGTGGATAAGTAGATGGCTTTGGAGAATTGTGAAAGTGGAATCCCAAGATCAATATCGATTACGATGTAGTGGGATCTCAAACCTATAGTATTCTGAGAACATGTGAACGAGAATGAGAATAACATTTATTGGGATTTTGAGGTGGGGAAGGCGGATTACGCGGAGAGAGAAAAGGGTCACTGAATGGGTAGGTATATATAGAGAAAGAGAATAGGATAGGATAGGATAGGATATGATAGGATATGCTATAGTATGATATGATAGGATATAATATGATATGATCAAAACGTGAGAGGGGATCACCGGAAGGAGCGGAGATGAGATGAGTTGAGAAGAGGGAAGTGAAGAAGAGAGAAGGAAAGAGGAGAAAAGGAAACAGGAGAGAAGAAAGAAAAGCAAAAATTCAATGCTTGACATTACCAGGCGCCGTACCATTAAGAAGAAATTAAAGAGGGGGCTTCTCATGGGAATCCCTATGCTTTAGTCTCTAGGCGAGAAGTAGAATTGAAAATAACTTCCGAAATGCATTGAGGATCACCAGGGATGAATTTCATATTTCATTGTGTGAAGGTACCTAGGGAGAGAGATTTGGCTTCTATGGAATGGAGCCCGGTTTCTCCTGAGGTGGATTTAGATGAATAGTCATGCTATACATTTAGTATTGAAACATAGGGAGGATGACATGGTGGGATGGTACTAGATCTTTAGTGTTTGAAGGGAAGTCATCATGGTATGTGAAAGTGAAGCTATATATGCAGAAAACAAATTCTATGCAAAATGCTCATTCTTTTTGGTATTATATAATTTCCAAGTAAGTTCCTATGCTATGCCCTATTTCGCTATGTGTTCATACATCTATCTCTAAACTTTTATTATACCTGTATGTTTTACACCATTTTTGCTCAACGAACTCAACCTCAAGATCTAAACAACATCAAACCCGCTTCCTCGTTGTTCACTTCATCATCGCTAACGTCCTCCTCATCACCACCCTCACCTAAATCTAATTTTCTACCTAACAGAGTTGCGAAGAATCTATCCCTCGCGCTCTCTTCCCACGTATTCCTATCCTCCGGCGCCATGAAATTTTGCAACTTCTCGTGAACTGTGAATTTCATTTTTCTACCCTTGCTAGCCTTAGTATCAACGTTCTTTCTTGTCTTTGCTTCTTTCACTGCAGTCCATTGCATTGGTTTACCAGCTTCACCAGCAGCTGCAGTGGAAGAATCAACCATTCGTTGATCAAGCAATTCTTTGAGAAGCAGCTGGTAGAAATCGGCATCGTCGTAAATGTTTGGATCGGTGGTAAGCTTCATTTGTTTCTGAACAGGAGCGCAAGAGCGAGGGACCTTGGTGCGGGAAATGAGATGTTCAGAACTAGAGAGTGTATCTTGCAGAAGAGAAGTGATGGATTGTTGGGGCGCATTGGGATTGAGTTTGCGGGATATAGGGAGGGCTGTTGTAGCGCGGACTTTGCTAGACCACTTTTCAAGGACGGTCTGTCGATTGTCGATGTTTGCAATCTCAGAAGCTTGCATTCGCTCCCAAATGGCAGAAGAGGAGGTGGCAGAATCAATGCCGCGCTTCCGTTTCTGTCCTGTTTTGGACGTATTGGCCGCCTTTGAAAGATCGTGTCGAAGCCCATCGATTGTGTTCCATAATTTAATAGCAGCTTCTTCTGCGGCTTGGAAAGGATTTCCATCGCTATCCTGCTGATCCTTATCTTCGGCTGCAGCTAGCGAATTGGTAGCTACTAAAGCCTTTTGAAGGCGAATGCGAACATTAAGAAGTGAATCGAATGCTTTGCGTTGTTGTTTCACAGCATTACCCTTCTCTGCATCTGCTTTTGCTGCTTGGGAGATTGTTGCGACGACTGTTTTCTGCTCTTCTCCCATGATCTTTCGCAATTCAGCACGTCTTGCTTGCTCATTTTCATCGGGTTCTTCGTCGCCGGATGCTTCTTCTTCACTCTCTTCATCACTACCAGCCTCCTTCTCATCACTCTGGTCAGGATTTTCCGAATCATCATCATCTTCGTCGGAATATTCTTCCATGACCTCGGCATGTTGAGCATCAACATCCAAGATATCTTCATCAGTCTCATTTTCCTCTTCATCCTCAAGATCATCCTCTTCAGATAATCCTACGCCCTCCTCCTCCTCACCACTGTCCGACATGAAATCGGCAGCAGTAGGTCTCTTCTTCACGCCATTGACATCCGATGATCTCTTTGCATTGACAGGCCTCTTCGGCTTTCCACTTCCTCGGAAGACGAAATTCCTGAACTTTTCCTCATCGCTCTCTGCCAAAGCCTCATCACTATCGACCTCCATGTCATCAAATTCCCCGTTGAATTCCATTCCCTCAAATTTCGCCTCTTCATCAGCGCTTTCATACGTAGAGTTGGATTCATTTTCATCATCGCCGTTCATCAATTGTTCGCGAGTGACTCGAGATCCGGCATATTGAGGGCCAAGTGCGACTTCTTCTGGTTTTCGAAGCTTGCTCTTTCTGTAATTTTTGATTAGTAAAGCTTCATTGTAAGAAGGTAAAACAGAGACTCCTTACCCAACTTGAACATAATGTTCTGTCCCTGCCAATCCATCATCGCTCTCATCACCACTTTCCGAATCGCTCTCTTGCGCCGGCTTATCATCTTCTGGATCGAAATCTGCGAAAAGAAGCCCAAGTCAATAAAATTGCCTCTGTGGTAATTGCCCAAGGATACAAACTTACCCTTAGGAATAGGATCTTCCAATTCCTTGATTTGTTTTGCCAAATTCTTTGATATCGCCATATTTTTGTTTTTATCTCAAACTTTGAGAAGTTTTGTTTTTCCGCAGAACTTCAATCCAAAAAATTATTTTGGAGCTTCCGCCCCACGAAATCTTGGCGCGCTAGCGGGTACATATCCGCTCAAAAGTTAAGCTCTCGTCGCATCATTATTGAAGCTTCAAGTTAACATTTGGTTAAAATGAAACAACGATTATTCTCTACTCTACGGAGTTTACAGCATGAGAATCCATTGGTATGTAAAAAAACATTGTTCGGAGAAGATGAGAGATTGTTCATTGACGAATACCAGGGATTACCACGAACAGGTAGTATTCCGCGCATGCAGCGTGGGTTGCCCGAACGAAGAAAAATAAGAGATGTAAAGAAAGTGATTGCAGTTTCGTCTGCGAAAGGAGGAGTCGGAAAGTCGACGCTTTCTGGTACGAATTCAGTATGATATCTCCATGGGAACAACTACTGATTGAGAGATAGTCAATCTTGCACTCGCCTTTGCTCGCCGTGGTCTAAGGAGTGGTATTCTAGATACGGATATTTTTGGTCCCTCAATACCGACACTGTTGAATCTATCGGGAGAGCCGAGATTATCCTCAAGTGCGTCTTTGGTCTGAATGAGATATATGGGACACGTCTGATATTTGGGCGGCAGACAATCAACTTATACCACTCTCGAATTATGGCGTCAAATCCATGTCAATGGGTTACCTAGTGGGTGATGCTGCACCAGTTGTGTGGCGTGGATTGATGGTCATGAAAGCACTACAGCAACTTCTACACGAGGTAGATTGGGGCGGATTGGATGTTTTGGTTCTCGATTTGCCACCAGGAACCGGAGATACTCAATTGACTATAACACAGCAAATCGTACTTGATGGTACGGACATTCTTGTTGTTGGTTGAAGATGCTAACTATTTTTAGGAGCGGTAATTGTGTCGACACCTCAGGACATAGCCCTTAAAGATGCAGTGAAAGGTATCAACATGTTCAAGAAGATCGATATTCCAATTTTGGGAATGGTACAGAATATGTCGTTATTCACATGTCCACACTGTCAGAATAGTACACATATCTTTGGGTCGCATTCGGGGGTTACTAATGCTTGTGAAAAGCACGGAATTGATTTTCTGGGAGATATACCATTACATGCGAGTATTTGCGACGATGCGGATAGGGGAAAACCAACCGTCGTAGCGGAGCCTGAGAGCAAAAGAGCAAAAGCATTTATGTCAATCACGGAAACCGTAGGAAAGAAGATTGGCTTGTTCTGATAGTATTTATTAAGACCAAAATAACAACAGTCAAGTGGTGATCAACAAACATAGGCAATGTAAAGCTAAGAAACTTGTAGGGGCAGTGAAATTTAAGGAGTGCCATAGAAATCGTGGTATCAAGTGCGGTGCAGAAATTTTCGTACCTGGACTGTTGATTCAAGGTCAGGTGAAAACAGAAAGCCCACCAAAGGCTCGTGATTCTCAGGTTTCCTATTCGAAAGCGATCTTTAGCATGTTTCATTGCCATTCGGTAACAATACTGGTAGAAAATTAAGTTCATTCGAAGAACAAGCATCCAAAATTCTACTCCTCATACGCAAAGCCTATGTCAGCCTACATCAAATTGCCTATGATGATGCTGAAGAGAAGGAAAATGAAAAAATAGAAAGGGAAATCCCAGCCTGAACACCTATACTTGCAGAGAGTAACCCCTCGCCTCCCCGCCCCTACTTCCCCTTACGCGAACCCCTCCTCGTCACCATTGGTTTGATATATATGACGACTTCTCGTTGGATCCTTCCGCATGCTTTGTCCCGATCCGGTAAATCCGACTGTATAACGATTAGATGTCGAGAAAATAAAAGCAATCAAGGAATATTTCTTACCTCTGCCATTTACCCCGTCAGGGGTACGAAACATACTGTCCTTCTTTCCTGCCTTTCCGAACTTTCCTTTCGCAGCGAAGTCCTGCCATTTCTTCTTACCGTCGTCTAATTCTTTCTTTGCCTTGATCTTCTTTGGGACTTTGGCCGGTCTCGTGGGTCCATCACTAACTTTACTTGGTTCGCGCTTAGACTGTTGCGCGAGTTCTGGATCGATATCGGCAGCTGCCGAAATAACGTTCGATGTCGATGGAGGGGTAGGGACCGAAGCTACGACTGGTGTACCATCAGCTTTACGCTTGTTTGGGTTAACTATGGGTTTAATATCCTTGGCTCGCAGAGTCTCTGTGGTGTCGTAGTTCTTGAACTTGACAATGTAAACAGGAGATGTAGAAGAGCCGGTTATAGATGTGATTCGAGCTGGATAAAATCCTTTGTCGCCTGAATGCCATTTCGCCAATACCATATCGTTGACCGAAAAAGACGTTACAACTTCGGGCTCTTCGGGTGGAGGAGGCACTGCTTTCTTGAAAGCAGGGTGGTTTTCTCGTGACCACTTTTCTTTTATTGGCGGCTCTGAGGGTTTCTTTGCTTGGGCTACAGGTGCTGGAGCTGGCTTTAGTTCTGCGATCGTGGATTCGGTGAGGGAAATGACTTCTTCGAGTTCAGCCTGTAGTGTCTGAAGCTCTACATTATCAGGATCTGCTTGTAGCCCCAACTGGACAGTCTCTAGCTATCATAATGTCAGCATTTCAAATATACAATTCTAACAGAACAGTAACTCGTGAGCCTACCTGCAGTTTATACTCCTTGATATCATTCTCTAATCCTGCGACGTCTGACATGGTATATCTGAGTCTTTACTTGTGTATATAAAATAAGAAGTTTGATGAATTCTTCCGTTGATACGTGAACAGGATAATAGAGGTATTAAGCGCTGCTTTTCTGAAATCAATCTTAAACAAAGATGTTGCAATATGATATCAAAGAAGGATGTGTGTTGGCGACGGGAAACAGTAAGATGCTTAATTCTCGAGAGGCGATAACCTTAATCTTACAATTGCACGTGATACGGTATTACTAAGAGCCGATGCTTATTACTAACTTGGGAATTCTCGTCTCGATCTTATCACAACCACATCTCAAGTTTACCAGTTTACGTCACAGAAAATCACCCTACGTTAGACACCCAAGTTCAAAAAAGGACCAGCAGGAAACATTCTCGCGTCAACAAAAGCATATGCCAACCGACAGGTAATTCCATCTTTACGATACTCACACAATTTCAATCATCACGGAGTTCCTTTTCAACCAAACAAAAAATGCAAGGCTTCAATATGGGACGTTATGTCCCTCCTGATCAGGAGGGATTGATGAGTGGAAACCAGTTACATGGAAAGCACGCTTTGGGAGCTCGAGCGAACAAGATTTCTCAGGGTATTCTGACGGTACGATTCGAGATGCCATATCCTATCTGGTGCACGCATTGCCCGAAACCTACCATAATAGGACAAGGGGTACGATTCAATGCGGAGAAAAAGAAAGTAGGCAACTATCTCTCGACACCAATTTATAGTTTTCGCATGAAGCATATTACTTGCGGCGGTTGGATTGAGATACGTACGGATCCAAAGAATACAGCCTATGTAATTACTGAAGGCGCGAGGAAACGAGATACAGGCGAAGATAAAGTTCTGGATGGGGACACCAAAATCTTGTCCGAAGAGGAGAGGGAGAATCTAAGAAACAATGCATTTGCATCGTTAGAGGGAAAGGTCGAGGAGAAAGAGAGGCTAGTAGGTAGTAAGAAACGATTGGAAGAGTTGCAAGATCTTTCTGAACAATGGGAAGATCCACATGAAGCGAATAGAAAATTAAGAAGAGCTTTTCGAGAGGGGAGAAAGGCGCGAGAAAAAGAAGCTGGAGTAGCATCTGCACTACAGGATAAAATGAGTTTGGGCCTTGACTTGCTGCCAGAGCACGAGGAAGATGCAAGAAGGGTGGGTTTCATTGAATTTGGAGGTAGAGATTCTCAAATCAATATCAATAAGACAATTTCGAAGCCCCTCTTTGAAATCGAGAGTCAATTGTCTGTAGCAGACAAGAAGGTCTCAAACCTCTCGCGAAGAAAGCAAGCTGAGGCATTGACTGCAAAACAACGCAACGATGCCGTGGCTGAGATCCGAAGTAATACAAGAGCTGCGATGGATCCGTTCCTTATCAACAAGCAATCAAACGAAGCTAAGAGCACAGCCAAAACCTTGTTAGTTGGTGTTAAGAGGAAGAGATCCGCCCCTGTTCTTGAAGACGCCTCGTCTACACCAAAGGTACCTGTTTTGGTCGATTACGATTCCGATGATTGATTAAAATAGAGGATGCATCTAGGTGGAGTTCTGGCGTTGTGGTCACGGGATTCTTTTCGATACCCTTTTGCTATTTTGTGATGCAATGACTATGGACAACGGAAAGTACGGAGAATGAAGAGAATATTCCAGTAGGCTTGAAATGTCTAACAGGCACCACATTTTCATTGTTTATGAGGCTACCAAACATTTGTCTGTCAGCCTAGCCAGTTTTGTCCTCAGCATATGGTGGAGTCCTGCATGAAGCTTATACATCAACAGTAAGTTGGTCTCGTCTAGACCTGCAAGATGCCTTAGCACAGCCTTTTTCTCAATTCTTTCGGAGCGGAACCGCTTGACGCACGAGCCAATGCCGGTCCTTCACAGAGAACATAACACTTCAAAAGTCATCAAGTGATAGGCCTTTTATTGTTACTTGGATCTGAATATTATCAACATCTTGTTCACCAAATGCAATAGCTACTACAATTTGGAAATATACCGGACTCACCAACTGAATTGGGGAGAAGGAAATGATGAGAGTTATTAGTCCTTTTCTTTTGGCCCACCCAATCACCCCTTTGTTCTTTCCGCCTTGTCATTGACCAAGACGGAAATTACCGTTTGAACAAAAAGTTTTGTTGCATATCTGAATGACGATGCGTTTTTTTACCAAGTCTTATCGGTGGCAGTGAGTAAGCTTATCAGACGAGGCGGATTCGTTGTGCAAAAGCCTCATCTTTACAAATCCCTCATCGTTAGCGAAGACACAACTGTTTTTACAACAAGCAAGACATCAAAAGTGAATGAAATTCTTTTCAGATTGACATCCTCTCCAAACAGTATTCATCCAGAAGACGTTTGTTCTGCCGATTCGATTTTTACAGATCAAAAGCATGTGAGTTTTACAATCTAAGCACGAGGCCGTATCTTCAGCAATCCCAAGTCTCCGACCTCCGACATAAAATGCATGAGCTGTATTTCAAGGTCTCATGAAACGGCATAAAAACATCCTCAACTTCTTCCTGGCTCCGGGTCTGGGCGCAAGACCCTTGAGACAATCTTAATGGACATTCGTTTGGGAATGGGGGCAATCAGACGCTCGTTCTTCGTCATGTAGTTAAATGAAAGCCAGCACTCAACTTCAATACCTTTTTAGCTTCTTCACTCATGGCTACGAAGGCCTGGCAGCCTCCTGTCATCATTGAATGCTTTGCAGTGATTTTGTTAGACCTCTGTCGTAAAATCCGACTTGTTTCAGGTGGGTTGAGGAATGGCTTGGTTTGAACATTACGTAGATCTCACCTATCCATACACCACGGGTATCACGCAACGTAGAGTTGTGCCTTTTCCTTGGGTAGCATTCAATTCTCGGAGCCGCACAGGATTGATAACTAATTCATATTATTTGTAGAGTCAACGATGCTCTCTATAAGTCGGTTTTGCTTGATTGTCAGATTTGTGTCAAATCCTGTTGCCACGTGATCGTAGATAAGAACCGCCGTGCCACCTGCATATGTCCAACCTCGTAAATCAATGAATATTATCTCACAATTCATCCACAATGTTACATTGCCTTGTATTGAAGTTTTACCAGTGAATCTGCCAACACGCGACTACTGGTATCTAGGCATCCATGGCGCGGGGTTAGGCACACTGCGCCACTCAGCCTTACACAAAACTCTACCTACATATAATGCACCTGCATCCCCAAAGTATACTGCCAACTATTCCCAGATCACATCAACTTTCTGCAATCAAAAAAGTCATTAGCCCCCATCGTACATTCAAAATGACATCCGCAAATCCAATGTCTTTGCAACGCGCTCCTAACTCCAACCCCGATCACGGACCAAGTAACGATATTGCCTCCTTCAAAAAAGTGCTTGCCTCCTCCACTCGAGTTCTCGCTCTTTGCGGTGCGGGTCTTGGGGCTTCGTCCGGTCTTGACACTTTCAGGGGCCCCGGTGGCATGTGGAGAAATTATCGCTCGCAAAATCTTGCTACCCTGGATGCTTTCACCAGAGATCCGGGCTTGGTTTGGTTGTTTTATTCGTATAGACGCCATAAGGCTTTTGCTGCGGAACCGAACAAGGGACATTTTGCCCTTGCAGAGTTGGCGAAGAGAATGAAGAAGGATGGAGAAGAGGGATTCGTGTGTTTGACGCAGAACGTTGATGGTGAGTTTTGAAGAGAAGTATCTTATGTTGTCTGTTTGTTATCATATTTTGAGACCGAAAGTACTGCCCTGGAGGCCATTGGGAGTTGTTAAGTGGTAATCAACCAACGTAAATTCTTAATTCAATTTTAGCGTTCTGAGCTATCTCTTTTGCTGCTGGGGGCATTGGACCAAAGTCTTTACTAATCCAATCAGGTCTGGCTCAACGTGCGGGTCATCCAGAAGGCTCCCTCAAACTTCTTCACGGCTGTCTTTGTGACATTAAATGTGCCGATCCAGTTTGTTCTTACCGTGAACGCAATAATTTCGACGACCCTTTTCATCCATCTATCGCAATCACCAGCGAAGATGATATCAAAATTCTCCCCGCAGCTACGGAAACGGTAAGACCTTTTATCCCTCTCACACTGAGCCCTGCAATGTTATCCAGAGTTGGCCCGGAAGTTCAAGTACGATGCAACTTCCTCAAAGTCACCTATAGCTAACATAAATCTAGCAAGCAATGATTACTTATCTTGACCCCAACAAACAAACAACTACAATCAAGAAAGAAGAACTTCCTCATTGTCCCCAATGCACCACTGCTCTCTTGCGTCCGGATATCGTGTGGTTTGGAGAAGCTCTCCCAGAAGATACTCTAGACGAAGTAGATCGATGGATTGACAAAGCACCAGTTGATCTTATCTTGGTCGTTGGAACAACGGCAAAAGTTTATCCGGCAGCAGGATATGTAGATGTTGCGAGGGACGCGGGCGCAAGAGTTGCAGTGATCAATATGGATGCGGATGGTTTGGGTAGCGCGAGTGGATTGGGTAAGGATGATTGGTTGTTTTTGGGTGATGCGGGTGCGATTTTGGACGAGATTTTGGACGAGATTTTGAGTCCGTTGAACGATGAGGAAGAAAAGGGAAATAAGGAGGAGAAGGCTTGAAGCTGTGATGTGGCGTACAAGAAGTCGATTGCAATTGGGATATAAGACTATCGAAAATCATGTCATGGTGGCGGGCATGATCATCAAAATAACCGCGTTAATTCATGTGGCCTATTGTTCATTCTATTGAATGAAGAAAGCTTCCAGCACTAGCGAGACTTCAAAAGTTCATTGACGTCATAAAGTTCAACTAGTCAGAAGCCGATTTGCGTTCATAATGTTAGAGTTTACCTTCATGACTGATCTTTCGCTTAATCGATGAACGCCTTCCCCTCGGGTTGAAAGCCTACGAGCAATTCTGATACACGATTTACCTCAATATATCTCGAACACTTTCGCGCTAATCCCCAATTCTAGCCCTTCTCCATTCATAAATCCATTCGCATACACTTTCCCCCGAACCATAAGCTCATCCTGCTTGTCCAACTCTCGTCTCAATAAAACAGGCCATCTACATCCATATAACGCAGTAATCACATCTCCCTTTCTTGAAAATGGAAACGTAACACCCATTATGCTTTTCCCTCTTTCGTCTTCGGTTGTCATACCCGTGTAGAAACGTCGATCATCCATTGCCATTTTTAGGCAACAAAACAATTTGCTCACGAGCTCTGCATCGTTCACTCGTAGTGGTGAATTTTGAGCGAGAGATATATTACATATCTTGATAAAAGTCGGGACTAGTGGGTGCTGCGATACAAGCTCGTCTATATACCCCGTTTTTAAAAGCGTTTTTCTCTGTGCCGTAAATAATGCGACTTGGTTGAAGCTATTGATACTATATGCCACATAGAACGATTCAAGTATAGAGCGAAAATCCAGAGGTCCATTATTTTCTACTGGATGCACAACATCAGTAATAGTAGCAAGATGTATGCCTCTACAGTTTAATACATTACCATCCTCGGAAATATGTGCATCAATAAGCATATTCCCCGAGGCGTTCCACTGCAACAAGTGGTCCGCAGTTCAACCTCTTAGATGTCCAGGACAAAGGCCGGTACCCTCACGAATACAAGACCAGTTCGGTACCCATGTCGCTATTGTAGATAAACCCTGGTATGAGCCGGAAGGACAGTGACATTTTGTTTTTTCACCTGCGCATATTATCTCAAGTCGATCTATTGTTTCGGTTATTAGGCGAGCGACATCTTTGTACATTTCAGACACGCTCTTTGAGTAATCAATCATCAGTTTCTGGTGATATGAATAGGACAGTCCGGCTATTCCATAAACTTTATCTCGTGGATCTCTGCATTCGAATTTGCGAAATGTTTGATGAATATCGAGTAGTTCCATATGCTTGGCTATTGGATCTGAAAAATGTAGTTTGCCATCTAGGAGCGGTAGGTTGGCAGGAATCCGAACAGATTCGATAACATAGGTTGTGTATGGCGGAAGAGTTTCAATTTCGCTGTTGTCTAGATATTGGAGTGCTTGGCCTAGAGCGAGGGGAATGAGCTCTTCGCCAACGTATACCCAGGTTTCAGAATTAATCAGGACTTCTTGGACAATCCACAGTCGGTTCCAGTAAGGTGATTTATGGATCTCCTCGAGTGCTTCCCAGCATTCACCGAGTTGGGGATTTTGAAGAATGGTAATTAGTTTGGATTTATGCGATCTTAGAAGCGATTGCGTAGTGCTCCAATGATCATTTCCAAAACTGTCGATAATCGCAGCGAGTTCCTTTTGGCCTTCGTAATGAGGAATGTTTGGCCAGACTCATATGTGAGAAGCGTGCTTGTAGATTTGATGCATCATGGATATCTGTTGATTTCTTTCTGTCAAATCCTCTTGGTTGATACATAAGGCATCTGCCCAAAGACAAGTCTCTAGTGTAAAGCGAGGCTTTTGTGGCGATGTCTGCTGAGTCGTCTTTACTGACGCTTTGTATCGAAAGTACTTGAGAGCATTCAGGATATTTTCTTACCAATATTAACTGGTACTCCATCAACGGTATTGGGCTCAGATGACAATGCTCTTGAAGAGTCACTAAGCCCTTTAGCTATTAGCTCACCATTGGGATGGTCCTCATCAGGAACGACATCGCCCCATGTATGAGAAAGCGCAGTAAAACTGGTTTCAAGGTCATCCACTAAAGAAACATATTTAAAGATACAAGCTAGGGCCTTATAAAACCGTTCTGATTTCGCAGGGAGAATATTACTCAAACCTCTTGACTTGTGTTATTCAATGGTCTATAAATAATATTAGCTATTTGGCATGTACTATGTAGGAACGTTAGAAGGTATGGACAGCTGAAGATGGTAGGATTTAGCGACACTCAATTAAAGTGATTGGTCGTTGAATCACCTAAGGTTTCAGCGAACATAGATTTTGGTGCCATCTCAATCTATATACATGATTAAATCATAATGGTATAAAGGTTGAGATTATAGCAGAAGCAGAAGCAACCTGAGGATAAGAAGACTGTGGCTCAAGTAAAAGTGGCACAGCCACAGGAGCATGCCGCACTAACCTTTTTAAGGAATAGATAACCGATATAGATTCTGATACTCCCTAAATTCAACCTCACCTGGTCCCTATTCCTTTAACGCCAATGCTGTCGTCTGCAAATCTAGAGCTCCTGGATTAAGGGCAATATCTGATCTGTACTGTACGTACGTCAAAGGAATAATTGTGGAACTCTTTTGTTCCTCATCAATGGCGGGAAATTTTGCCCGGGGGGCCTCCTCCCTGGAGGCCCCCGGAGATTTCACTGTTCACTCACAGTCCCGAAAATCGTTTGCCGTTGACTCATGTACGATTCAAGTGGAGAAAGCAATTTTGTGCCGCTGTTGATCTTTGATGGTTGGACCCAGTTGATCCATGGATCGTTCTTCTTTGATGAGTTTATTGGTCAAGCAATGCATCTCAACACACACATTTTTATGTTTTGTCAAGACGACTAAGAGGAAACTGGATTAGCAAAGTTGAATAACCAAGTTGCCTTCTCTTTCTCAATCATACCAAGCAACACCTTAAGCCAGGGAAGCTTTCTTTTGTGCCTGGAATGACCCATTGTACCCTTTGGTTATGATATCATTATGATTGTGTGGGATTTTATCTCTATTTACCATTGAAGGTCTATCATATTCTCAAAATATAAATATAGCACTCATTCCCCCTTCACTTTCCTTCTCACTCTATCCTCTTCAAGAAGCTCATCATTTACACCAACAATCATATTTCTCTCTCATCTACAATCGTCCGCTGTCGAAGCATATCTTCTACCAGCAATATTTATCAAAGTTTATAATCTAAATTACAAAAAGCTTAATCATGGCATCCACCGATATTCTTTCCCATACCCTCTCTTCCATCACTTCCATCAAACTCGAAGAGATTTCAAGCCAGAGATCTGCATTCGAGCAAGGCAAGTCGGAACTCCTCAAAACCGTCTCAGAACAGCCCAAGCAAAGTGAGAAACTCCGCATCTTACTAGATCGTATTGAGAGTCTTGCTTCCATGGGAAAGCTCAAGGATAACAAATCTATCTCGTTATACAACATCAGACTCTTCCTTCAACAAGCTCAACATGACCCATCGGTTTCAGAAGGCCTCCTCAAAGATTGGCAAGAAAAACTTGAGAAGGAACTTGACATTCATTCATTGAAATACGAATATGCTTCTTTATATGGTCGACTTGTCAACGAGTGGCTCTCGGCCTCGAAAGAAAAGATGGCGTCTGATGACGAATTTGAGAGCATTGGTCGAAAGGAGATGCATGAGCAGCGACAGAAATGGGAAGACTATGTTTTTAATCCTCTAGAAACTGACTCTACTGCTATTGAATCATATCTCACCAAGCTTTTTACCTCAACGTCGGATGTAAAGGATGCTTGGGAGAAACTACGACTCCAGACCGCCACCTTTGAAAAGGAGATGGAAAACCAAGTTCACTTTGACGAAAATTCCTTGAAATGGGTGATCAACGGCCTCCTGAGGAGTGATCTTCTTACCGATGAAAAGCGCGCTATTCTTAAAGATTTTCAAAGCAATAAAGTCGTTCTCGCCGAAGTTGCCGACGTTCTAAATATGCGCATATCATCACTCGACAAGTGGAAATGGGGCCTAGAGGGTACGTCTGTCGAACAACGCCGGCAAATCAACGGTCGCTACCGATTTTATCATGATGAAGATCTTCTACAATCTATTCTTCTTCGTTATCTCGGTGTTAAATGGTCCGTATTCTTCAAAGGCAAGCTTACCGAATTCAAGAATTCCCACAATGTCTGGGCCAGCTCCACTACACAAGTTCCAAAAGCAGACAACCACAGACGCGAATACTTCTTTGACCAACCTACTAATAGCAATATAATCAATGTTGAAGCTATTCGAGAGAGCCATTTCAACTCTGAAATTTTCCTCGAACAGTTACAACATTCACCCGAGGAACAACGAGGCGGATACGCAGACGATGACTCTGAACGCAAAACTGACACTCGTAAATCCCCTCAACAAATCACACAATCAGTTCTCCACACTTTGGCCACCGAAATAATAATGAAAACTCGTCTTGGCAACCCTCTGACGGTCGTTCGTTCCGATTTCGCTTGGTTTGGACCTTCTCTCTCTCATGCAAGCATGTTCTCAGTTCTATCACATTTTGGTGTTTCCTCTAAATGGATATCTTTCTTTCGCCGTGCTCTTGAAGCACCCATGGTATTTCCATCCGATGGACCATCCGCTCCTGTCCGTATTCGCAAACGTGGGACTCCGATTAGTGGTCCACTAAGTGACATGCTCGGCGAAACTGTTCTCTTCTGTCTCGATTTCGCCATGAATAATAGAACCAACGGTGCACGTCTATATCGCTTACACGATGATATATGGTTCTGGGGTAGCGAGTCAGTTTGCGTAACTGGGTGGAGCGTCATGGAAGAGTTTGCAGCCCTCATGGGACTTGCCTTTAACACTGATAAAACAGGTTCCTGCACCGTAACCCGCAACCCTACCACTATCATCAAGGTTCCTTCATCTCTCCCTAAAGGACTTGTTCGTTGGAATTTTTTATACCTGGATCCTCTCACTGGTCGATTCTTGATTGATCAAAAGCTAGTTGATAACCACATCAAAGAGTTGAGTCTTCAACTAAACGCCTGCAAGTCTATATTCGATTGGATTCAAGCCTGGAACATTTACGGCTCCCGTTTCTTCACCACAAACTTTGGTCGACCGGCGCATTGTTTTGGACTCGCCCACGTGGAAGATATCCTTACGACGTTCTCCCGTATTCAGACTCAACTCTTTTCTGAGACCGGTGGCTCCGTTACCTCAACTCTTAAATCCATGCTTCATACTCGCTTTGGTGTGGAAAATATTCCAGAAGGTTACCTCTATTTTCCCATGTCTATGGGTGGTCTTGACCTCAAATCTCCTTTTGTACCACTCTATTTGGTCCGCGATCAAGTTGAAGAGAATCCAGATAAAATCATGGATACTTTCTTCACCCAAGAGCGTCATAGTTACGAACTCGCGAAAAAGCAATATGATGATGGCGACGCATGGTCAAGTCGTCCTCGACGTGATAAGGAGCTCGACCTTGAAGGCTTCCCCCCGTTTGAAGAATACACACAATATCGAGAACGCACATCGAGAGCGCTGCATAATGCGTATTATCAGCTGAAGGATGAACCAACGGAGTGCGCGGTTAATATCATTGTGGGAAGAGTGATGCAGGGGAGCAAATGGGAGACGAGAGGGATGACGAATTATCACAAGTGGATTTTGCAGCTTTATGGGGCGGATATGGTGGAGAGGTTTGGGGGGATAAATGTTGTAGAGAAGGGATTACTCCCGACTGGGATGGTGGGGATGTTCAGGGAGAGTAGATTTAAGTGGCAAGGGTGAGGTTGAGTGATTGTTGTAAAGGAGATGATGGATGAGTTGAGAGGACTGAACGAGAACACGCTTCTCACGTATTTTGGGAATGAATTCAGAATCACAAGATATTCGTAATAGATACCACTGCTGTGCAATTGAAACTACATTTGCATTGTTTCAATTCTTTATTTTCTCTGCGTGTCTACTATAGTACTTGGATGCAAACAAATGATATCTCATGGCACAACCAAAGTGAAGCTCTGAAAAATTAAGCATGAATGTTTGTTTTTACGGACTCCCGAATACAGAGTGATGTCTCGCCGTATGTCATATATGCACTCCGCATAGACCCAGTGCTAACCACCGAATGTAAGACATTGACGTTCTCCCTTGGCGCACAGGCTCAAGAGGTATATCAATCACCAGAATAGCAACAAGAGCCATGAGCAACGACTAGTCGGCCTTTTAAACGTCGACTACCTATTTTTAAGTTGGGGAAAGTAAGTTTCCCCGGAAAGCAAATAAGTGCCTCCGCTAGTATTTTTGATAGGAAATGTATCATCACATCAGATCAACATAGAAAAGCTTCTTTCTACCACACCACAACCATTTCATGTGTGGATTTAGGAAATATTATACTATCGAATTCGGCAAGGGTAAGATAGCATGAAGATATTGAATTTTCCACAATAACTCCAAAGCCAAACGAATTATATGGATGTTGATTGATCAAGGACGTCTGTTTCCCAGAGACACTCAATTTCCCCAACTCAACTGGGAAGGGGTCAGCCATTAAGTGCGCCGAGTGTTAGCTACCGGTATTAAAGTATAACGACACTGAGTTGTGATGATACGAAACCCCTCATGACAATGCTTACTGTGCAATGTGCAGTGTTGACACTAACGCCAAGGAGGATAAATATTCAAACGATAATTGGGGATCATCGGCGTTTATGTAACCGAGCCGACAAGCACGCAGGGACTAGATGGAGAGATGATGAAATGGCGTAAAAACATAATCAACAGAATAAGTCAGCAAAACGGTCTGGTATTGAGGTCATTCTGAACCTGCCTCGAGCGTGTCTGGAGAAAATTCGGGAGCTCGGGAAATATGCGGGTTAAGGGAAGTTTGAATGCAGTATGGATCAGATATGCACGGTATGTAATGGATATACGAGTATCATGGAATCGGTGAAAGGATGAGTTGATTGATATCAGATACCGAATAACAATGAAGTTTGAAATGAAGAGGTAAAGGGGTGAAGAGATGAAGAAACTGAAACTTCAATTTCATATTCATCCTACCCTTTCAATCATCTTCGTCACGACAAGAATCACGGCAAGAACATGACAAGACCAAATCTTGGCAAGTTTCTGGAACCGTTGAAGAATGATATAACAATGGATGCCATTACAGTACAATGCCATTATGCCATGATGCCATGATGCCATTATACCTTTCCATTCTCAGGTGCCGAGTTTACTCCCGCGAACTCCGCAACATCCACCCCCACTTTCTCCTCAATATGAGCAAAATCCCCATTTCGAAGGCGAATTTTCTTTTGAGGAACAATCTCACGACAATCTCATGACAATCTTATAACATTAACAAAGTTGAGATTTGCTGATTAATCCCTGACTACCTAGATACCTCGTAGCTACCTGGTACCATCTTAAAAACGACAGGGGAAGTCGCAAAAGCTTTGGATTAAGGTTATATAGGTACGAGTAGGTATTTCTTATCCACTAACCATATTTTTTTTACTTTCTCATAGGTAACCAATTTATATATCAAGACCCGATGCCATCTTGCACCCCGAGTATATCATCTTTCAACCAGAGGGAATGAATGTGTACAACAACATACTCATCCAACCTACCTACCTACCTATTTATATGAATTCATCCATCTGAATAATGAATTGATATAGCTAGCTATCATCTCAACAATACCCTGATACCACAACACAACCGCAACTTCACATCCCCTCCTATCTCTTCCAAATAATTCATTGATTCACTCCTATCCTCTCCAATCAACGACAACACTTCGTACTCATCTCTCATCATGTCCTCAATCCAAGAACTCGATTTCGAGAAACTTCCAATCTCCCCTTCAGAACTCTCACATGCTGCAACCGAATTTGACAAGGAATTCGCACCCATCGTCTCGCCTCCAGATACACCCGTTCCAGAATGGGACAAGAAACTCAGTCGATCTATTTCACTGGCGCGAAGGCGATCTTCCAACGGATATGGTTGCGACGACCCGGAAAATCCTGCTAGAGATTTTGAAGGAGAAGAAGTTGAGAGAGATCCTTTCGAGGTGAAGTTTGATGGTGGTGATAGTGATCCCATGTGCCCGAGAAGTATGGCTCATGGGAGAAAGTGGTTGGTAGTTATTATTGTCAGCGCGAGTTCTTTTTGTGTGTAAGTTCATCCCATCTTTTATCATGCATGTATTTCTCGCTTGACTTGGTACTCTGCCTTGAGATTTTCAGATGGGGTTCATCTGGTAATCATGGCTGATATCAAGAATCACCTACCTTTTCGGCACGATAAACACCCACAGACGGTGGAGCTAAATAACCAAAAAATGTGGAATATTACGCATACTAATCTGACTTGCTTATTAGTACCTGTGCGTCATCAATGTATACCAGTACATACGCCCAGATAGAGGAAGAATTCAATTGCTCTCGAGAAGTCGCTACCCTTGGACTTTCTATGTTTATCCTTGGACTTGGTCTGGGACCCATGCTGCTCGGACCTCTTTCGTAAGCATTCTATTCGATGTCTCTGCTTCAATACTTACTGGCATCAACAGTGAATTCTATGGTCGTCGTCCGATATATCTTTGCTCCTTTTCTTTCTTCTTAATATGGCTTATTCCTTCGGCTGTGGCGCAAAATATTCAGACGATGCTCGTAGCGAGATTCTTTGCTGGTCTTTCCGGAAGTGCCTTTCTGTCCGTTGCAGGAGGCACGGTGGGAGACTTATTTAATCGAGAACAACTCCAAGGTCCTATGCTACTCTATACAGCATCGCCGTTCATCGGTCCATCATTTGGTCCACTGATCTCTGGATTCATTAACCAATTTTCATCATGGCGTTGGACATTCTACGTTCTGATCATCTGGTCAGCGTGCAACTTAACATTGATCTTTTCTCTTGTCCCAGAAACTTATCATCCGGTTGTCTTGAAGGCCAAAGCTCGTAAAATTCGAAAGGAGACTGGCGATGATCGTTGGTTTGCACCTAATGAGAGACTCAACAAGTCTATTCCGAAGACCATTGGTTATTCCCTCCTCAGACCCGGTCAATTGTTAATTCTTGAGCCCATGTGTCTCTGCCTTTGCATATTTTCTGCCATCTTGCTTGGTATCCTCTACTTATTCTTTGGCGCCTTTCCTCTCGTCTTTGAGGGTAATCACGGATTCCAACAATATCAAGTTGGATTGACTTTCCTAGGCTTGTTCATCGGGATGCTAATCGCAGCGGCTACTGACCCTTTCTGGCATAAGAACTATGTAAGACTGATCAATCAGCGAGAAGAAATGACGGGCGAAATTGGTGGGTCCGAACCTGAATATCGCCTACCTCCAGCTATTCTAGGAGCCTGTCTCGTTCCTATCGGGTTATTCCTCTTTGCGTGGACAACATATTCATCTGTTCATTGGGTTTTCCCAATCATTGGATCTGGTATTTTCGGAATGGGGTACGTCAAGTTTATTTTTTCCTCTCATGAAATCCCTTCATTATTCGTGATGCCCTCTCGTGCGTCTCTCGCTTTGTAGTTAGGTCCCCGAACCATGTATGTTCCATCGCCGGAGTGGCGTTTGCATCATGGATGTTTCGTTCCTGCATGGAGATGTAGTTGATCTTTTCATCTCATGTTTTGCACATCTGTTCCTTTTTGGGGAAATGTGATGCTGGATCTTCACTCTATTTCATGCTCTGGTGAGAAAGAAGACTTGAGATGTCTCACATGACACGCATTTGATGTGGTACCAAACAATACACTTGGAAAAGTAGCTAACCGGCTGGGATTCATGCAGAACCATTCTTGTGTTTACTGGTATCTTTACATTCCTGGTCGATGCATATCCATTGTATGCAGCCAGCGCTCTAGCAGCGAATAGTTTCATGAGAAGCAGTTTCGGAGGTTAGTCCTATTCCCCCTCTCCCCCAACGACCTGAGATACATCACCCACATATCCATAAATGTCTTATATGTACGAGAGGAGAATTAAAAAAAAACAAAGGCTGAACCAATTCCACTAGCTATCTTTCCGCTCTTTGGGATCCAGATGTATCACAAGCTCGGCGATCAATGGGCAACCACTCTCCTGGCGTTTTTGACGCTGGTCATGACGCCTTTCCCCTACCTCTTCTTTAAATACGGGAAGACCATCAGAGGACATAGTCGTTTTGCTACCGCGTGATGTGTCTCTTCAGCAATACATGCAACCGCAGTTAATATAAAATATGGACATGGGCTCATAACCATTGGAGTTTTTGATGAAGTACAGAAAGTTTTTCTAAAAATTTCGAGCGATTGGGCTAGTTGGTTAGTTTTGCATTGCATGGGTGAATGGAGTTTTGGGAAAAAGGACGGAAGGGAGAATCGGAGTTTGGTTTTTTTTTTCTTTTCTTCTTTTGTTAATCTAAAAAGACGTTGCGAGTTAACGTTCACGTTGAAGTTGACATTTACGTTTACGTCGTTGATGGTTGCTTGGTTTATGTTTACCTGTCTACCTAGGTATCGATCGATATTTAAGAGATGGACGGAGCATTTTTATAATTCATGTACTATATACCCCCTTATCAGTTTATTTACCGGTATTTGTTTGTTATCTATTTATTTATGGATTATTCATTCAAAACACTATCTAAGAGTTCTTTAACAAACGCCAAGATGAGAAGTTGGAATTGGAGATGGATGGAAAATTTAGATGTACCTATCTAGTTCGGATGGAGGATTAAAAGGGAATGAATGATATGATGTAGGTAGGTGGGTAAGTGGGTAGCTGGTTATGGCTACAAAGCGCCATTTCACTTTCTCTAAGCACGGAATGGTACGTAAGTATCTTTGAGAATTAATTTTGTTTTATCTTGTTTTGTTTCATTTACCATAAAAGAAGATGGATGGATGGATGGATGGATAGGTAGACGAATGAAGGAATGAGCGAATGAATAACTGATGGGATACGGGATACGAAATACTGGACATACCAGATGGTGGCTCCCTGGTTCCAGGACTTAATATATCATGTACCTTGGTTAGCTGATGTGTATGTGTGTAGTGTGTGTGTGTATGTGTTACGATGTAATGACTCTCGAGGTGAGGTGGATGGGTGTGCGAGCGAGAGTGCGAGTGCATATATCTGTAGAGTGGGGAGGGGGGTGGATTGTGATGTATTGTATTTGTAGAGTGATGTATTTATTCTATTGTGTTTATTGGATTGGATTGGATTGGATTGGTACGTGTGGATGTGGATGTGGATGTGATGGGAGGGGAGAGAGGGAGGGAGGAGAGGAGGTGTGATGGATGGATGGGATCTGGAGTCTGATTTGGATTTGGATTTGGATTTGGATTGGAGAGGTTGATGGATGGCGATAGAGTGTTATTTCCTTGCGGTATTCCCGTCTTTCTATCTACAGCTAGAGTCTACTGGATAGGTAGGTAGGTATGAAGACCTAAGTGGGAGAAAAAAAGGAAAAGGGAATTGGGATTGGGGATGGGGATTTGAAAGTTGTGTTTATGTTTATGTTATGATACTGGGGTCTTGGAGGGTGATTGATGGGATGGGATGTGTATTCCCGTAAACTCCAGAAACCATTGGGACGGAACGGGTTCTGTTTGGTGGAAATGAATGGATGAATGGAATGAATACAGATTTTGTGTAAGGGAGGAGTGGGTGACTAGGACTAAGACTATTAGAGCCAAGATGCAGAATACGTGGTAGCTGGTAGATGAAAGGGTGGGAGGATACGATGGATGGATAGATAGATAGATGAAGGATCGAGATGAATGGTGGCAGTCTGTCTGTCATTCAGTCAGTCAGTCAGTCAGTAGTCAGTCGGTGAGCGGGATACAGTATAACACAGTACAGTACATACAGGATGGTACAACACGATATACCCAGGTATGTATGTATGTATGTACGGTAAGCGAGGCGGCCTGTTCTAATGAACGTTTTGTGATGGATGGATGGATGGGTGGTGGGCTTGCTTGAGTGGGATGCTTGGGATTGGTTGGTAGAGGAGGACAGCTTACTTGGTTTGCTGCGGTTAATGTATTATATAGTTTTTTATGTATGTGTTATGTATTATGTACTATGTATGGATGCATATGCAATGTAGTAGATAGTAGATAGTAGGTAGTTGTTACCATCGGCTTTTATTATAGTAGTAAACTCGAGGGAGTTTGAAGGAGGGAAGATAATAATATCTAGTCTGCCTCCACGGCAGTGGCCCCCGGAGGGTCAGCGAAGCGTCATTTAATAGACTTATGATTTGTGATGATCGAAGTCTTATTGTTAATGATGCTATTGATGATGGGGGCAAGCCCCCAAACCCCCTTAGCTCGCTGCGCTCGAGATAGAGATGGGATGTCTGGTTAGTTAGCGTGAGAGAGGAGTTGTGGGTTATATAATGTGATTTGATTAGAAGAGGTGTTGAAAGTAGGTATGTGAAAGGGAATTAATTGTATGGTGTGCAATCGTTGTATATTAGGTAATGGATTAATATAAGTGAAATATCTAGGTAATTGGGAGCAAGCTAAATAGAAGGATTTAATAAAGTCCTTGTCATACTCATGATATTCGAGTTTAATAATTGATTGTTTGTATTTCATAGATTAATATTAATATCTAAGGGTGACGACGATGATATTGAACAATTATATATATTGCTATAACGTGATTCATATGCGAGTGGATCATATCACCGAATGGATCACTTCATTTTATATACAAAATTCGTTTGTGTGTAACCGTGCACTTTCTTTATTTATCGATATAATTTTTCAGAAATTAAATATGTAATATCTAATTATATAAATAATATAAAAATCTAATTTTCATTTCAAAATTCTAATTAATATAAAATTTAATTGAAAAAGAAGGTTTTTGTAATATAAAGTGTAACAATTTTAAGCTATAATCAAAACATCTATAAAGAAATTAGAAATTATAGATATTTTATTTTTATTATTATTTTATATCCTTTTATTTTTCAAAAATAATGAATAGTTATTAAAATAGGAATATTAAAAATGACTAATTTTGGTGCATTTTCAAGTGATCCATTCGATGATATGATCCACTCGCATATGAATCACGTTATATGTTTAAAGAAGTATATCGATGTTATCTAGGTACATGGACTGGGTAAATATTACTGCGGATATATTGAGCGTTAAAAATGTGGCTATGTAAAATGTGGCTGTATTGACTGTGGCTTTATAATAAAATTCATCATAATTTATCATAATTCACTCATTTCAGCATCATTTTACCGTTTATTAATCCACTTCACTCCACTCTCCACTTTGATTTCTTTGGGAAAAGCTTCTTTTTGCTTTTGCTTAATCTGTTGAACATCACTAAAATTTTCCCCGCGCAATCATACAATACAAGACGGTCGCAACAACAAACCTCGTTCCTGCCACGCGGCGTTTAAGCTTGAAAGGAATGAAGTTTTGGTGATACTCTATATCATTTAATTGAGTACAAAGATCTTCTATTGATTTACCATTTGGAAAGGTAATTTGTTTGTTCAATCAGTCAATCAGTCAATCAAAAAATCAAGTTTCAAATTTCAAAATCCAACTCTGGGAAAACCAATTGATATCCTACCTGCTCTCTCAGCTTACCCGTTTTCACCCACCCAAACTCACCCACTCACACCCATTTACCCACCACCTCTTCTTCCCAAATCCTTTCATCCGCCATTGCACAGAAGATAAGTGCGATTTCAATTCGCAATTCATCGAACCCCCGCCGTCCTGATCTGCATCCATTTGAAATCTCTTCCACACGAGGCGAAAGATCCAAAGAAGAGAGAGACAAAAAGCTATATAGGTTCCAATTGAAAAGGAAAGAAATCCCCAAATACCCTGACCGCTCGAGAAAACAAAGGACGGCGAATATATCCATTTCCAATATATCGATTTTGAAGTGATACGCAAAAAGGGAAAGGATATTTCAATTGCATCAGTAGTGGAAGGCATTTTATTTGGGCACCAATGCGATTGCGGTGGGACTAGCTCGCGGATACTTGCAGCATCATACAGTAACACAGCATTCGATTATTACATTTGCGCATTCTCTCCAGCACGAGAGAGGAGGCTTGGTTGAGGGAGTAGGTTCTCCGCGTGACTACACATGCGTGGATGTAGTGCTTTACGAAGAGACTAGGTTTTGGATTGGCTGCAAGGAAAAAACAAGAATCGAAAAGAATCGAAAGCAAGATTGTCGAAAAGAGAACAGACATAAGGGTGAGATTTTGTACCCAAGGAAATTACGAGAAAATACGGAGCGGCCGAGTCGGGCAAACCTACCTGGTTTCTGGGAAGGATTTACGGAAAGAGAGGATTTAAGGCCAGTCAAATAGCGGTGCATGCGAACGCGTGTTGGTGTTCGGATAAGCACGCGGCGAAACGTGGTAAGGGATTGAAAAGACGCGGGTACTTACTTTGCGGCAAGAATTTATTTCGGAGTATCGCTAGGGTTACCCTTTGTAGCATTAAGATTGCTCACAGACGCAGGAAGGTGGTAGAAGTGTGCGCTGGAAGTGTGGGAGTGAGGAAACAAGGTCATTGTGCATTGTTGCTGGACGGGCGGTTCACGGCACCATCCTGTGTTGCCTTGGTTGTGTGACGAGGCTGCTGCAGCAGGGCTCCTGTTCAAGGATTGGCGAGGGAGGTTGACTGGGGCTTCTATTGATTGGAGTGTGGTGTCGCAGAAACGAACTAGCTTCTGCACAAGTACCAAGTGAGGTATTTAAGACAGGATGTCGGGAGAAACTGAAATAGATGATCCTGAGGTTTCGGATGGCGCTTCGGAGAACGATTATAGTGATCATGAGCAAGAGCTTGATGTTGTAGGAAAAGAGGACGATAATCAAGAAATGGCGGAACAAAAAGTAAGACCGGACGGTGAGGAGAATGGAAATACTGTAGGAGCAACGGCTACAGTTACAAAACCAAAATTCGATCCTAAAGATCCCTTGAGACCTAGAAGAAAGAAGGCAAGAAGAGCTTGTTTTGCTTGTCAACGAGCCCATTTAACTTGTGGTATGTTTGTTTTCATCAAGGATTCATTTTGGCGCTCTTTTTCGTACCAAGAGCCTTACAATTCGTTGTTTTGTTCTTTATTTTTATCTGGAATTTCAAAAATTTCAATGAAATTTGCTACATGTGCTGAGAATGAATTCAATAGGGGACGAGCGTCCATGTCAGCGTTGTATAAAACGAGGTTTAGCGGATGCTTGCCAGGATGGAGTCAGAAAGAAAGCAAAGTATCTCCACGATGCACCCCCAGAAGCTCTTAGACCTGTTTTGGGGCCAACTTATAATCAACAAGTGAGCAATAATCGAGCTACTGCCGCATCAACACCAACAGAACCTTCTCCTGGTATGGGGAACTTTTTCTCTCAGCCTGATACTTCACCATCTTATCCACTTTTTGGAGCCAACCAACAAGGTCAAATGCCACCGCCATTGCAGAATCGACTTTCATTTGGAAGCAATCAGCCATCACCAATATCTCCAACTTTTCATACAGTAGGCAATCGGCCAACTGGGTTGCAAGGAATTTCTCTACCGCAAGTCTCAAACGATTCTCATTCTGCATTCGGGGGTGGTGCATTTTTCGATCCCAGTAATCCAGCACTATTCAACTTTGATTTAGAAGGATTAAATTTCGGAAATCATTATGGAGCATTAGAATTTGGAATGCTAGGGCACATGGCATCAGGCTCAGCAGAAACACCACCACAAGATTCAAATGCAGGAATGCCACAGAATGTTAGCGATCTCGGTTTCAATAACAACTCGGCTTTCACTAATA